GGGGGGGGGGGGGGGGGGGGGGGGGGGGGGGGGGGGGGGGGGTCCCGTGTGCATGCTGCATTTCTTCGGGGATATTATGTTTCACGACAGGGGCACTCACTCACTACCCCCCTCCTCGAAGACTACATACCAAGTTTTCCTGTCTTGGCCTAGCGCGTCGTCGATTATCTCGTCCTGTTGAATGTACGTGACAGAGATAAGGCTAAGTGTTGTCATCCCCACGTGTTCTGGACTATCACTTTCAGTGCAAGATTGGGATTTTTCTTTTGAGACGACACACCAGCCGAGGAGTGTGGAGGGACTTGGGAAGGAAGATCACAGATGCCGCGTGAGATTTGTTATGTTCGAGCGTTTCGTCTCCCGGAAGATGCTTCACAGTTGGTCGTTTGACCTCCTTGACCCTAACGTTGTTGCTCATGCTGCCGCTGTTGCTGTTCCTGCAACGTCACGACAGGCATCAACACCCTCAAGCTCAGCGGTACGGACGGAGTCGGGTTCGCCATCCCGATCGACACAGCATGGCAGGTAATGTATTTTTGAGCCAATTACCGTCCTCAAGGTTTTTTGGGTTCTTGGCCTGGCCTTTCTTTTTCGTTTATGTTTTGCCTTGCCGCTACAGCATCTTCCATAATAGGCGCCATCGTGTCGTTGCGAAGAAGTGTGTGATGAGCCTCCCGCCCGGTTCACGGTTCCACTAGCAAAACCCGGCCAATATATTTCAGGCGCTCTGTGTAGTTTGGGGAAATCGCATGGACGTTTTGACGTTGTGAGAAACCTCTTGGAATCAGAACTGCGAAACAATATCGATCATTCCACAGTATTGCCGGGGAATCGGCCGGGAGTTTTGAAGACTGTGCGGAAAACTAGCCATTAGAATGGCAACGGAATTCTTTGACAGTGTATTCTTGGTGATACTGACTGCAACACCAACATCGAAACAATGATGATGATGATGATGATGACAGGTTATCGAGGATCTGCGCACACGGGGGCGGGTGGACCGGCCACAGCTGGGCATGCGCCTCATCACCACGGACAACCAGAAGGGAAAATCGAGTGGAGTCATGGTGAGGACGGTCGATAGGAAGGGAGGGCGGGAAAAGGCACCTTAGAAGTTCACTACGGGTGCCGCATTTTCACACCTACTGCTCTCTAGTGCCGTCGCCTACTCGTGCCCATCTCTCTCTCTCTCTCTCTCTCTCTCTCTCTCTCTCTCTCTCTCTCTCTCTCTCTCTCTCTCT